CATTGGTGTATAAAGTGGCGACTTATCACACGATCTTCACCGAAGGTATTCTTCAGCAATTGCTTGGCACCGCGGGCGATATGAGGATGCCCTCCATCTTGCATGAATGTTATTTCGCTTAGTGCTTGTCTGTCCTGCAATATGGGAATAACCTTTTTTTTCTCAAAAGTTGAACATAACGTTCACCAGTTACGGAAACGGTTTTAAAAGTTCTTCCATTGATTTCTTCAAAGAAAAATGGCCCAATATTAATAATAATAAAAAAAGAAGTTAACCCACACCAAACTAACTCTGGGCTGATGAAATGACATTTCTGTATAAACCCTTGGGTTTTCTGTTGCCCAAATGAGGCTGTTTTGAGTGTTAACTTATCCGTTTAGAAGAAAGTGAGCTTCATCTGTTTTAAGAACATTCGACAGCCAGTTTTATTAATATTAATTTGCCGGAAAAACCATGCGGCGAATTCTTGAGGCTACTTAAAATCGCCGACTTTTAGCTTGTAAAATCTTTGAATTTTGTTTGGGTATTTTTAAAGAAGTGCTCCCCAAACTGTTCCATAAGAAATCCCCGTTTGTCTATAAACTTGTCGGGCACGTACTTCTCCATACATGGATAACGTTTCAATAGCTTCATCATTCTGCGAAACCGTAACAGCCACTGACTTGTATGACGATGGTCTTCCACTTCGAGATTGCTTCCAGAGATTTCCAGTCTTCTCAAAAAATTTTTTATTCGCCTTGGAGAGTTTCAACTCATGGGTTCTTTACCGCTTTGAATACCTTTAAAGGTGCGAAATGCTCGTAAAGCTTCAGCGGCAGATTCTGAAATGCAAAAAAAAGAAAATTCACCTAGAGTACTTTATCCTGTAGTGACGGCATTCCAGAGTAAACTGAATTATCAGAAATAGATAAATATGTTTCATGTGAATTGAAATAAATATAATTGATACTGATAGAGAGTTCAATTTAAAAATTAGAAATTTTTTATCCTCGAAATTTAAATCGCTGAGAGGATTCCAGCAAACCGCATCTAAAATATTTTTTTTTTCTACATGTTTTAAATAGCATTTACTAATTTTACATATATCCGATTGCATTCAAATATCGTCATCCACTTCTCATACTTTTGGCAAAAAATGGCGTTTTATTAATTTATCATTTGATATTATCAGGGTTCTTTCCTAGTATTCATGGTAGAGCGCAATCTAGCGAATAAAATCGTAACTAAAATCAATTTCGAATTTTTAATTTTTTTCCTTAAAAGATCCCATTGAATTCTGAAAACAATTTTGTTTACCGCATTACCTTATCGCAAATATCCGCGGAGTTATTAATTTTCAAAGTTATGCAAGACTTTTGGAACACCCTGTATATCGCCCAAATAGAACAGGCGTTACTTTATTCGATGACATCAAGATATTTTCACCTGTAGTATTTTCCACGATAATTCTGCAAGCGCATTTAGCTTTTGTGGCTCGATGATGAATTGAATCCTATATACGTATTTCTAGAAAAGATTGTACGTATATTATAAAATAACGGTATTATTCAAAAAACGCAATATAGTATATTAATATTTAAAATTCTATTTGCTCATCTCTCTTTTAAATTTAAAATTCAACCATCTAATACGCGATGAACAGAGAGAACCTTGCGATGAATATATTTAAAATATTCAATTTTGGCTTTAAATTAGAAATATGAAATGCAATTTACTTACAACGCATGAAATATTAAATTCAAACGAAGAAAAAACATTTTGTAAGAAGCGATCTTATTTAAAATATGAATCGATTCTATTGAAGTTGCATTTTTACGATGCAATATCTTCCTAGTTACGGTGGTCGAGAATAAATGCTAGTTATTTAAAATCCAAATAACCTTTGAAATTTACGAGGGCCATCCAATAAATAAGTTTCCCTATTTTTTTAACAAATAAACAACATTATTTACAATTATGCAGTTATTTTATTTTCATTATACAACTCATAGACTACTGTTGTACCAAGCCATGTCCTGTGTTCGTAGCCAGTGGTTCGCCTCCGCCTGCACTTCGTCATCATTCGCAAAATGCTTGCCTCCAAGGTGCAACTTGAGTGCTGGAAAAATATGGAAGTCGCTCGAGGCAAGATCCGGAGAATAAGGTGAATGTGTGAAAATTTCCCATTTGAAGTTTTCCAGTAACGTTTGGGTCGTTCGAGCTGCGTGAGGGCGAGCATTTTCATGAACGAGTAACACTTTTGAGACAAAATTCCAGGACGTTTCCGTTTTATTGAAGCTCTGAGTTTAGTGAGGACTTCGCAGTACCTCGCAGCGTTAACCGTAGTGTTGGGGGTAGGTAGTCAACGAATAAAACACCCTTACAGTCCCAAAAGACGATAGCCATAACTTTGCCTGCAGAGATTGTGACCTTCGCCTTTTTGGTGCACTTTCCTCAGGCTTCTTCCACACCATGCTTTGTCGTTTTGTTTCTGGAGTTGAATGATGCACCAAGCTTACATCTCCAGTGACAATACGGGAAAACAGTTGATATCCATCTCTTCGATGCATTTCCAGGAAAGCTCGGGCTACCTCCATCTGTTGTTGCTTGTGATTTTCCTAGAGCAAACGCGGGACCCGTCTTGTGCAAACTTTGCGAAAATTAAGAGCGTCCAATTTCGATTCCAGGAGGCATTCGAATCATTATTTCGTCAATGGTGACGCGGCGATCTGCTTCCACCACATTCCGAACAGCAGCAACGGCTGCATTGTCTGTAGCAGTAACGGGCCTGCCGCTTCGCTCGTCATCATGCACGTTTCGCCGTCCTTCCAAGAACCATGAACGCCATCGGCGAACCATTTGGATGATCATACATCCTTCACCATACACTGACACTAAATTGCGATGAATATTGACCGCAGTTTCATTTTTCGCCGTGAAAAAACGAATTACAGAACGGAGTTCGCAAGTGGACACGTTCACCAGTGGTAGCTCCATGGAAACTGAAGCGCTACGAACTTTCGCGTACGAGTAGCGTGAATTTGAGGGTCACGCGCATCCAACGCATCCTAGTGACCATTTCTTACACTAATAACCAATTTTTACAACGTTTCGTTCGCAAAAAAAAAAAATATAGGTAACTTATTTTTTGGGGATGGCCCTCGCACATTGAGATTATAAAAGACATTTATAGCCCTATACTTTCACCCAAGGATTTTATTTCTTTCGACCGGCTGTATTATGTTCTACACTGATTACCTATCTGCTGTTCCCAGTATATGTAGCCGCTTTAATATTAGAAAGGTCCTTTAATAGAACTTATTAAGTGACAATATCTGGCCTATATTATTGAATAATTAAATTTTCGGCGTTCATTTGATGTAATACTGATACCTGACAGTCGCCATATTACATTGTCAGTTACATGAGGAAGAACTAATGCGCCGCATTGTTTCTACCCTGTTCAAACATATACAAGCAAATGTGACCAAACTATACTTTCCCTTATTGGGAATTATTTCTTTATAATCCTCCTATTTAGGCATTCAGTCTTTGTAACGCCAATGTGTTCGAAACGCATATGTATTTTATGTTTCTGTATTTAAAAGATACATTTAGTAAACAGCTTTTAAATAAAACCTCATTGGAATATTAATTAAAGACTAATGGAAATTTTTCACTTTTTTACCAGAAAAACGTATTCAATTATTAGGAAATTCCATATGTAAATACAAGGGTCGGTCAATAGATGTAAACGCTGACCTATAGAAAAAATTTCAAATGACTCATGATCATAAACAAAGTGTGTCCTCTGATTAAATAAACATTACTTTTTTCATATCTGCAAATATAATTAATCTATCCTTTGTAAATATTGAGATATGCAGCCTGAAGTGAATGCAGGTATCTGAAAACGGTCAGTGATGGTGTTCCTGTTTAAGTCCTGAGACTTCTAAACTACTGTAATTTACTTGAAGTCAAAGTTTGGGTATGACAACGAATCAGAAGATAGACGAACAATACAAAGATGACAATTGAAAATTATCCCGCATGCGTTTCTTTTGAAAGAAAAATCCAAATTTATTTCAAGGAGAAATAACGATTATTTCTAACCTTAGGGATGAGGTATGAAAGGATGAATTGTTAAGAGTAATGATAAAAGGAAAAATAAAAGTGTACAGGGATGGGAATCGAACCCACAGTGTTCCGCTCACCGGGCAGATGCCATGTCCACTAGGCTACCCTGGACATATTTTCCGTTCGTAAATAAAACATGAATTAATTTATAATACAATATAATATAATGCGGCTTGTGATTGTAAAAAGACAATTGAAAATTATCCCGCACGCGTTTCTTCTGAACGAAAAATCCAAATTTATTTCAAGGATAAATAACAATTATTTCTAACCTTAGGGAGGAGGTATGAAAGGATGAATTGTGAAGAGTAATGATAAACGGAAAAATAAAAGTGTCCAGGGATGGGAATCGAACCCACAGTGTTCCGCTCACCGGGCAGATGCCATGTCCACTAGGCTACCCTGGACATATTTTCCGTTCGTAAATAATACATAAATTAATTTATAATACAATATAATATAATGGGGCTTGTGATTGTAAAACGAAAATTGAAAATTTTCCCGCACGCGTTTCTTTTGAACGAAAAATCCAAATTTATTTCAAGGAGAAATAACGATTATTCCTAACCTTAGGGATGAGGTATTAAAGGATGAATTGTGAAGAGTAATGATAAACGTAAAAATAAAAGTGTCCAGGGATGGGATTCGAACTCACAGTGTTCCGCTTACCGGGCAGATGCCATGTCCACTAGGCTACCCTGGACATATTTTTCCGTTCGTAAAGGTTAGAAATAATCGTTATTTCCCCTTGAAATAAATTCGAATTTTTCGTTCAAAAGAAACGCATGCGGGAAAATTTTCAATTTTCGTTTTACAATCACAAGCCGCATTATATTATATTGTATTATAAATTACTTTATGCATTATTTACGAACGGAAAATATGTCCAGGAACCCCTAGTGGACATGGCATCTGCCCGGTAAGCGGAACACTGTGAGTTCGAATCCCATCCCTTGGCACTTTTATTTTTCCGTTTATCATTACTCTTCACAATTCATCCTTTCATACCTAATCCCTATGGTTAGAAATAATCGTTATTTCTCCTTTAAATAAATTTGTATATTTCGTTCAAAAGAAACGTATGCGGGATAATTTTCAATTGTCGTTTTACAATCACAAGCCGCATTATATTATATTGTAATACAAAGATGGATTCAGCACTTCCAGAATTGTGAATTTGATATTACCGATAAAGAAAGGCCAGGTAGACCTCTATAGTGACGGACCAAAATTTGGCTCTAGCGGAGAAATTGATTCAGAATAACTGAACAATGTTGACTTTTCAATTATTGTAAAATGTTCCTTGTCTCTAAAAAAGTGTTTATAAACCTATTGATGATATTTTATATCAAAAATTAAGTTTAAAATGAGTGCCAAAATTTCTAACACGAGAAATGATGCAAATTCGGAAAGACAGTTGTTAAATCTCATGAAGACTTTTTCTGGAGAACCTTCTCGTGTGTCTGAAGGTGTGATAATATGTGACGAGACTTGGATTTATTAATATGATTACTCTTCAAAGCGCCAATCAATGCAATGAACCCATAAAACATCGCCAATAAATAAATATTATGACAAAAGTATGATCTCTGTCTTTTGAGACTAAGGATGACTGATATTGATGCACACTCTTGAAATAAGTTCTTCTATAAGCAAGAAAAGGTATTATAAATCATTAGATAACATATGATATATAATTGAAACAAAAAGACCCAACTTAAAAAAAACACCCAAATTATATTTCATCAGAATAATGCGTGACCGTACCTGACTTTGATGAAGATTGTAGGGTATGGCTGGACTTTAATGCCTCACTCTGCATACATCCCTGACTATTCAAATACGCACGTAAAATTAATTAGATATTAAAGAAATTCTATAAACACATTTATACACATTCTTTAATATTAAAAATAGGTATATTTAAAATTTAAATATAACATTTATTTTATATATAAAGTGTTCTGTCCGAGAAGATTTGAAGGACTCAACTAGGGCTAAGAAGGAAACAAAGTTGAAAATTAGAGTGAATAATATGCCGTTGTGTTAGTGAGATCATTATGTGTTGAGAATAAGAGCAGGAATTGTTGAATGCATGGACAACTCTGAATTTAATTTTATTATTAACATAATTATCACATTGCTATAGGGCCTCTTACAACGTGGCTGGAGGGTATTGTTCTTTCTTAAAGCTTCTTCAGTTGGAACGGCTGAAAGGTGTGTTCTTAAATATTCTCTAAAAAAGAAAAAAATACATAATCTTCTGAAAGATAAACCTAAACTCACATGATCGGGTGATTGTGTAAAATTCGCGTGTCTCGGGATACAACATTGTATAGGCCCTTGGATAAAAGGATATTAAACTGGCGAAACCGCTTGAAACGTTCCCCACTGATGAACCAGACCCTCTCGAATAATAATTGCATCGCAGAGAGAAGAGTGGGGAGTTGTTTCATTATGTAAAAATGCGTTGGTTTTAGATTACAAAGGTTTTTTAAGTGAATAGGAAAGTTATAGGAGAGCAATTTCGATTTCTGTTGTAAGGTTGGATTGCAATGGTGCATGTATTTGTGGATAGCACCGATACCGCGTCATCTTAGAAATATATTTATACAATTTCAGAATCTTGTGTGTGTCCATTAGAAATAGTTTGTACCAAGAATTTATCTCAAACGCTCTCAGTAGGAATAGAACAGCCAAATCCAGTTGTATAGCGATTTAGAAATAATAAACCTTTAAATTGTTCGGGGGATAACCTTCGATGAATATATGAATCAGAGACTTCTTAATTTTATATTTGTTACCGCAAAGTAAAATATGTAGAAAAAAGGTTTTAAACTAAATACTATTCATTTCCAAAGGTGTTAACTTCAATATAACACATTATATGGATATTCTTCATATTTTCTTCGTTCTGATTAACCCTCTTGAATTGTCTGCAGTCTACTCCGTAGCCCCCCTATAGTTGAATAGATTTATAATAGAGATATGGGTAGAACTATATTAAACTGCTAATGAAAAAAATATATACTAGAATATATTTGAGCAAATAATATTATGTTAATATACAAATCATCGAGAAATAAACCTTTTTATCACCTTCACACTTTTCTCGTAAAATAACATGTTTCTGTCATTCAAAATACCCTCCACCTGTGAGCACTCAAACCTTCGAACGTCTAAGCCAGGGGTCTGCAAACTTATGAGTCGTGAAGAGTCAATAATTGCAATTTACAAAATATCGAAGTCTTCAAAGAGCCACAAAACATTTCTTGCCAAAAATAAATAGTACTCGCATAAATAATAGTTGCGTATGGAACTATATAAAGAGCCGAGCGTCAGATCCAAAGAGCCGCATGTGGCTCTCGAGTCGCTGTTTGCCGATCCCTGGTCTACGCCAATCGACAAGTGCCAAGGATTATTTCTACTACTTTGTTAATGTCAGGTTTCCGAGAATCGTATTTAGGATGACGTCTTCTGCATTTATACCGTGACCTCTGATTGTGTTCAAAGGTTTCAGCCTAAAGGATTTCAATCAGAACTTCCAGAAGGACATCCATAATTAGAGATCAAATCACGAACATTGATTCAGCAACAACTGTTGTTTGATTCTTCCTTTGGGAGGAGGCTGAATCCTGTTGATGCTCTGAATGTTTACATTTCTACATGGTATTGGTCAAGTTTTTTTTTTTTTTAATATTGTCATCCTGATTATTTTCCGTATCTGTCTTCACAGAAAGGGAAGATGGTTTTGCAATATCACCCAAACCACCAACGACGCAAGGTAATGACCACACTTGAATCTTTGTAGCAATCAATAACATTTTCTTAGATGTTTACACATACATCCTTTCATAATTTTATCTCAAACTATCCCAGACTTTAAAATTTTTCATCGTTCGAAATTAATTTTCAACAATACACTGTATGGGAAGGAGACATAATCTTTGATTGAGTGTAATGCCCATAGTTCATTCAAAGTACCTTCTCAAAGAGATCAGCTTCAGTAGCGTTATAAAAGTAAAACAGTCCAAAGCAATATTATAGCGGTATGGTATATTAAGTTGGCGAAAACGCTGGTTTCGATTAACCAGGCGCTCCCTTTAATTTATCATTTCAGTAAGGGCAGCATAAAATATTTTATTTTGAAAATAAATAATATGCGTGGGTCAGAAATAGTTTAAATATCTTATAACTAAACCCCCTTTACAGTATGATATGGTGTGGTTGCCACACGTTTCTTCAGCGAGCGCGCGGACAAAGCTTCAACATACATACGGTTGTAGTGTGGCGACCTCACTACGCCTCGGCAAGCGCGAGCTGAAAGAACACACTACGCATGAGCGCGGGCGGCAACCGGGACTCTCTGGCCACACGCGTCGTCAACAAGGCTTGCTTCCAACGGTCGTTACTTTTTCTCTTTTCTCTTCTGGCTTTAAATAAATAAATTTATTTTATAAGAAATAATTATAATTTTATCAGCGACCACACTTTGCTTCAGAGAGTGCGAACTGGGAAAAAGCTCCACTAAACATACGGGCAGTAATGCGACGGCCTCGGCAACCGCGAGCGGCAAACTGACTACGCATGCGCGGGGGCATACGGGACTCTCTGGCCACGCGCGTCATCAACAACAAGGCTTGTGGAAAAGCCGCTGATACAATTATAATTATTTTTTTATAAAATAAATGTATTTATTCAAGGCCAGAAATATATAAAGATAAAAGAAGTAACGGCCGTTGGAAGCAAGCCTTGTTGTTGGCGAAGCGCGTGGCCAGAGGCCGTCACACTACTGCCCGTAAGTTTAGTGAAGCTTTGTCCGAGTTCACGGTCGCTAAAGCAAAGTGTGGTCGCCACATATATATATTGTCGCGGAGATAAATAAAGCAAGGGGAAGTTGGGGATAATTAATTTATTATAAGGGAGAGATAGAGTGTACAACTCACCCCAAGACAGAGTTAATCCTAATGAGGGATGTCAGCTCCCCCGCCGGCCAGATTCCGCGAACCCCTCACCCCCCCGGTGTCCAGGGATGATTGACAGGCGTCCCATGGGGCCTGTTCACCAACTTCTTTCTGGCTGGTTTTCTTCTTGCTCACTCTTCAACCTAGAGGTATAGTCAGCGCAGAGGTCTTCTCCTAAAATGAAGCGGGCTTTCCTGGTCTAAACTATGTGAAAGCACTAGTCTCACAAAAGCTCAACTCAACCCATATTTTATTTCCAACCACACTATATATACAATAAATTCACACACGTGTCCAAGCATTCCTGGTCAAATATGATATAAACATATATACACAGAGTTACATTAAAATAATAATAATAAACTCTAACATTCCTCCCCGAGTTGATGGACCACATCAAGTTCCGGAGGGGCCACCGAAAGCAGCACCAGCTTCACCAAGGGTCTTCGGAGCATTCCAACCGATGTCCGCACCGAAACAACCCGCACCAGGCCGTCCTTCCCAGGATGTGTCTCCACCACTCTGCCCATAAGCCACTTTGCTGGGGGCATTCTTTCCTCTTTTATCAATACTAACGTATTGATGTCGACTTTGGGAGAGATGGTCTTCCACTTATTGCGCTGTTGCAAGTTATTCAAGTAGTCCCTTGACCATCTTTTCCACAGATGTTGCAAGACCCTCTGAACCAACTGCCATCTTGTTAGGAGATGATTCTCTACCAATAATAGGTCATCTTCCGGGACACAAGAGGATGGTTCAGTCAGCAAGATATGGGCGGGAGTTAATACCCCTTGATCATTAGGATCATTACTCATTGGGTACAAAGGTCTCGAATTCAAACAAGATTCGATTTGGACTAGAACGGTCAGCAGTTCTTCATATATCAACAAATTGTTCCCAATAATTCGCCTCGTATGATACTTCAAAGCCTTGACCCCAGCTTCCCAAAGACCACCGAAATGGGGGGCTCCTGGAGGGTTGAACTTCCACTCAGT